AATTATCCTACATTATTTAACTTGTACCTAAACTCCCCAACAGCATCTGACCATTTCCAATTTACACCTGCCTCAGATCATGGGCACTGGGGTACCCATTCTCTTATGTGCCGATGACGTGGCTATTATTTCACAAACGTTAGCTAGCCTTATGAATGAATATTTTTGTTATGGTCACTGACCAGAATTGCAAACAACTGCAAACGTTAAAAATAAAAATAAAACAAAATAAAATAAAATAAAATATTACAGTTGGTGGTGAGTTCGTCACTGGATAATAGACACCTGCCTAATTTCACAGGCAGTAAAAACAAATTTTATCTATGTTCAAAGAGACTGGATCATACTGATCTGATAACAACAACTGTACATTAAAAAGATCAGAATTTCCCCGGTGTTTTACCAGGTAAAGAGTTATAAGGCGGGTCCTTGAGTCCTTATAGAGGGTACCGTATAGCAGGACACGAGCTATAGTTTCAACAGCCCCTTGTCCACAAGGGCACAGTCTCAGCTCATAGGGGACTTTTTTGTGTCAGCCCTCCAAAACTGCTACGGGGAGAGCTAAAGTTAGTGTTCTTTGGGATTATGTGGTGTGAGTATCTTGTTGGTTTGTACAAAGGGGCTTGACTGCTGAGAAAAGCGTTCTTAGGTAGAGCAGACTGGCCCTGTTGGACTGCCAGGTCTTTGATACCTTGTTTAAATGTGCTGAGTGCACGCTCATAACCCATCATCAGGAATGCCTCCCTGGAAAAGCCGAGATAGCAGAAGTTTTTCCGAAATCAAACTGAACCGTATTGATTTGTAATTGTCCTCAATAAAGAAAGAACTCAAACCTGTGGGAAGGAACAGTAACTTCAACCAGTGTACAGTGATACAGGTCCACGCACCTGTTCTGACTTTAGATAGCCCTGCCTCCCTCCTTAGTGCTACCTTTGGAATGCAAGGAATAGAGCCCTTAGAAATTTAGATTGGACCCTTTCAAGAGGAGTAAAGGAAGTGTAAGGTCCGAGCCGGGCACCGAAAAGGAGTTGTGTACAAGCCTGAGCTGAATATAGCTTCAGAGCTGCTGGGCTATGTTGTGCTCCTCTGGTGACATGAAGAGGTTGAATTGTGGCCACTGATTTTTGAGAATTTTGTGTGACACAGTTTTGGTGTGCCCTGTGTTTGGCTGAGCTGTGCAAAACCATGCCCAAATATTGAAAAGATTTCACTCGTTCACTACTCTGGCCATCCAACCTCCAGGCGTGCAGTTTAGGTCTCTTTGCGAAGATCATGATTTTACTATAGTTGATTTCAGCCACTGGCCAGGGCATTCAGGGCTTGTTTAAACCCAATTAACATTTGTGATAGAAGGACTGTGTCATCTGCATACAACAAAGTTGCAGTATCCTCTGCTAGTTTTGGGGGGGGTGATGTTCTAACTGATTTATCATAATTTATCCATGAGTGGATTTATGTACAGATTATACAGCAGAGGAGATAAAGTACATCCCTCCCTCACTCCTTGCTAAGTTGGAATATTGTTAGGTGGGGTGTCCTTGCATTCTGGAATTCTTATAAAGATTATGCATAAGCAACAGTAACTGTCTATCAACGGTCGTATTCATAAGCTTAGTCCATAGCCTTGCTCTCGGAACTAGATTGAATGTGGACCTAAAATCAATAAATGTAGTATATAATATTGAGCTCATTTTAGATGTGTATTTTTCAGCCAGGTGTTGAAGTATAAGGGCATGTCCATATATAGAACGTCCAGTCCTGAAGCCTGCTTGCTCGTCTGCCAACATATGCTCTAGGTGGATCCAGTCAACTAATTTGTTGTATAAGCGTCTGGCACCAAGCTTACTTATTATACTTAAAGGCTGATAAGCCTATAATTAGCAGCCAGGTCTTGGGTGCCCTTTTTATAAATGGACACTATGATGGCTAGGCCCCAGTCCCCTGGGATTTGCGCAGGGCAATCAATGTAAGTAAACACGGAAGCGAGAACTGGAGTCCACCATTCCAAATTACTGCGTAGTATTTATTACTGCGTAATAAAATCATTGTCTGGAGCTTTAACCAGCTTTACCTGATTTGTAAGAGTCTTTATTTCAGCACTTGAAACTGGGGCCCTAAATGGGAGCAGGCTAGCATTAAGATCTAAGCCAAATTTAGGAGCCTCTCCTTGTGAATATAATGCTCTAAAGTGGTCCTCCCACGCGGATGCAGGTAAGAGATGGGGAAGCGAGTGGAGCCTGTCAATTGGGCGGGAAGCCATCGGTTGGCCTTACATGGTCTCTTAGAATCTTGGCTGAGTACTGCAAAAAACAACAGCAATTAATTCCCAGAAAACCAAAGTAGTGGTTTTTGCGAAAAAGCCTACAACACATAATGGACTATTGCAGGGAATGCAATTGTTGTCCTGCTAATATGATCAAGGTAGTTGGCAATCTCCCTTGTGGGAACCTATACCGGAACAATCAGATAACTTTCATCTTGCTTTTTTCTTGTCAAACGATAAGCCTGATATCACATATCAAGTAGCTAAATTTTGTGTCACAGCTATGAAGGCACATACATCACTACAAAATTAGATCTGCTGTAACAAAGAAAAAGTATTATGCCCAGGTTGAACTATATGTCATTACAATGCCACGTACATTTTTAAATGTTTTTATGATGTTATACAGGTAGTCCTTGTTTATCGGCTGCAATTAGTTCTGGCAAAATGGTCGCCCCGCGAACTATGACTGAGAGATGCTGGGAAGGTTGCTGGTTGCTGCCATCTCGTCCAGATAAAAGTTTGCTGCTCCAGTGTCTGTGCCTGACCCATTTCCCCCCTTTTTTTGGCCTCTTCACAGGGCAGAGATTGCTTAAACAAGCTCTCTCTTCCTGAGCTGCTTTTCTCAGGCCTTCCCTAAAAAGTGCTAGCTGCAAGAAGCTCAGCTCTGTGACCTTAAGTAGTTGACGAGAACCCTCCAGCCCCTTGCAGCTGATGCCTGAAACTCAACAGACCTTAATCAGTTTCACACTGAAGGCTTTTGTTGTCCTAAATGCACACATTGGTTGGAAAATTACTTTTTTATTACCATTTATTACCGTCATATTTCTGCTCACTGAGACAGTTGTTAAACGAGGATTGCCTCTATTACTGCTGTTGCGAGGAAAATACATATTTGGGTGAAGAAAGTCAGTTTTGAGAGGCTTCAGATGAATGGGTACACCTTAATAAAACTGAAACATAAAAGAATATGCAGCACCCTTGGAAAGCTGGTGTGAACCAAGATGGTTGTAAAAACCTTATCACAAACATCCCCATAGCAACCAAGGCATGTCTTGAAGGAGGATGTGTTCTTCCTGACATTTGGCACCTGGAACTGATTGGTTTCTTATTCTCAGTAAGGCTATTGTTTTCTTTGCAGATAGCAGATAGTAGAGGGCAAGAAGTAATTTGAGACTTTTACTTCTATATGCCTGCATCATCATATGAATATGCACGTATGCATCATTTTTTCCCTCACCTTTTCTGAAATGTATAAATATCAGTGCATCTCTTTTTTTTGCAGGGGGGTCTCTCACTAACCCTTGGTGGGTTCCCCTCCAGTGCGCACCGTCCAATAAAAATGGCACTTAGCCTTGATTATTTGCTTCCAGTCCTGTGTTCTGATTCCACATTGTGATGCAATATTGCTAACCAACTCTTTCATGGTTCTGATAATCGATTGAATACATTCCTGGTGATATCAGGATGTTGAATTAAATACTGTATGTCTAAATGTATAGATAGGATTGCATTAGCTATAAATTGGTGGTTAAAATTACCTTTGAAGCTTTGGAGCAAAATGAATACATTTAAAATAAATATAAAACAAGATTGATGAATAGCTTACGAGGAATTCTGATCTTAATCCTGTTAGACTGTTTACATAGAAAGAAAGTTTATCAAATAGCCACTCAACTCTCTGGCTAAATTGAGGCTGTCTTATTCCAAGTTCTGGGCTGAGCAGGGAGTTTACTTCTTCAACCAATTAATTACTGTCTAAGAAAATTAAGAAGCTACATTCCGAATATAACTTAAATGAATCACTGGCTGGGCGCTATATAGGTAAAACAATATAACCCATCTAGATACTTTAGCATTTTCAGTGATACCGAGCCATCAGCACGAAGACGACAACAGCAAAGGTCAACTGGGGATGGGGAGGCAGGGGCAGGCGGCAGCAGAGTGCAA